CGCATCGCTGGGTGGCTGAGCAGAGATGCACTTATAAAACCAGGGTTGATGCAGGTGAAAGATGTGCTCCTGTAGTCCGTAGGAGCTGAAGCTCAAGGAGCAGTGATCTGAAGTTCAGCCTTGGGCAGTGGTGAGTCACAGTGACACAGTCTCCTGTCCTTCCTGGTGACCAAGCATAGCTTGAGCCTGACTGAGTAGTCAGCTCCTCCAAAAGGGAGCCCTACCAAAAGGTGTTTGTTGGTGTGTTTGAGACTGAGCAACCATGTCTGCCTGTGGATGCATTCAGCCTTTAAAACTGTGGGTCCCGGCTGTGATTTAGCTTGTCCCCACCTTCTGTTCTGGGGCTGTTCAGAGCAGGGGATGGTTAGTTCATATTCATCTCCTGTTGGCCACATTGCCTACTTGGGGTGAAGCGTGACGGTGGCAAAGCAAAATCCCATTTGTAGGCAGAATTCCTTTCTTTTATTCTCCTAAAGTAAAGCATTGAGACTCGTGCCCCAAACAGAAAAGAGACCATATGGGAAGAGAGAAGGAAGAGATGTGCTGGCAGCAAGAGGGTGTGTGTTGCCTTTTCCCCTTTGTAGTTTAAGGAGAGGGATGACGCTGGTGGCTGCAGCCTCTATAGGGGTGTTTCTGTCCACTGTTGGGTACCACTGATGTTACAAGCCAACGCAACCACCTGGTTACTGAATTTAAGCTCTGCTTTTAACTATGCAGATAGTGTCCAGGGATGTATGCCACTACTGCATGCTTCCAGTATTGGTTTTGTTTGGATGCACACTAACCAGGGCTGCTTGTCCCTATGTCAGTCTCAGCAACTCCTGTGTTAGCTGTCACTAAACCTCACAAGTAATTGCTGCTTATTTACCTGCCACAGCACTTGGCACTGGTGGCAAGTCCAGAGCATCAAAAGAAATTGCTCTGGGTTTGAGCTCTTGTCAGAAGGTACTTTTGGAGAGGAAAATTGGGCCTGTGTGTCTCCCATTTGCTTTATGGAGTTGAGAGGTTAAACCTAAAGAGTCAGAGTGTGGGTTCAGCACAGCCCTGGCCAAGGATGCCTACACCTACCTGCTGAGCTGCTTGCTACAGTGAGGATCCGGTTATTGTCACAGACATAGCTCCCAACCTCTGCAGTTAATAAATAACCCCCACAAAGATGCTTCAAATGAACAGTTTCTTCCTGATAAAAGGGTAAACAAATGGTCTGAAGCAATAAGATGCCAATTCTTAATGAGTTAGTGCTCAGTAGCTAGGCTGAAATCCCAGCCTGGTTTGTATTGGAAGGGACCTTAAAGCTCCTCCAGCTCCAACCCCTGCCACGGGCAGGGACACCTTCCACTAGAGCAGCTTGCTCCAACCCGTGTCCAACCTGGCCTTGAACACTGCCAGGGATGGGGCAGCCACAGCTTCTCTGGGCACCCTGTGCCAGCGCCTCAGCACCCTTGTCGTGAAAGATTCCTTCCTTATATCCAGTCTGAATCTCCCCTCTGGCAGGTTAAAGCCATTCCCCTTGGCCTGTCCCTACAGGCCCTTGTCCCAAGCCCCTCTCCAGGTTTCCTGCAGCCCCTTTAGGCACTGCAGTTGCTCTAAGGTCTCCCCTTAAGGAGCGTTCTCCAGGCTTACCCAGCCCAGCTCTCAGCCTGTCTGTTCTCTCCTAGTCCACCCAGTTCAGGTAAGAGCCATGATGCTGCCTTACTTCATTTGAGGTGTGTGAATTCAGCTGGGAAAGGGACTGTGCTCCTGTTGGTGCTTGTTCTTATGCAGAAATCAAATACTTCTGTACCCCTCCTGCTGCATGTGGTACAAAAGCATCTTCAGATGTGTTGGAAGTATCAGATGTTCTCTAGATTGCAGCTGATGCCTTTTGGCTGCTAGGTCTACTGTAGAGCTTAGGTATTGATTCCATGCCGAGCACCAAAAGAACATCTGAATAGGGGAGGAAATAAATGGGTGTCAGAGCTCTTTTGCAGTCAGTGCAGTCACCAGTGTAACAGAATCCAGGTGGGTGCATGTCGGGTGTCCCTCTGCCTGGGGAGAATAAGTGTTCACTGATGAACGTCCTTGTTTTGCCTTATTTAACATGCAGGAATGTGGGTTTATTCCTCATGCCTTGTGTTTGAGGTGTTTGGAGGGTGTGGAGCCCAGTGTGGCTCACAGGAGTGCCGGACTAGCTGAGGGCATTGCTGGGAACCTAGTATTTATCATTCTTGGGGCTGTTATCAAGGTGCATGGTTAGAACATCAAACTCATGTTAATACTGCCTTTCATAGGGGTAAATATAGCAACTGAGCTGTAAGTACCTATTTTAAAAGGCTTCAATATTGAGTTCTCTCACTGCTGAGTGAGGGGGCTGACCTGCTGATGATGTTCACATCACTCTGGGTATGACAGGCAAGAGGAGGAATGACTCAAGGTGCATGTTTCACAGTCTTTTGTGTTGACAGACATCACTCATGTTAATACTGCCTTTCATAGGGGTAAATATAGCAACTGAGACGTGGTGCATGGAGGGCTAAGTTCTATCCGGGGACAGATGATGAGCGAGTTGAGAGTGCTGTTGTAGGTGTCTGTTACAGACCCCCAGATCAGGGTGAGGAAGTTGACGAGGCCTTCTACAGGCAGCTGAGAGAGGCCTCACAGTCAAGTACCTATTTTAAAAGGCTTCAATATTGAGTTCTCTCACTGCTGAGTGAGGGGGCTGACCTGCTGATGATGTTCACATCACTCTGGGTATGACAGGCAAGAGGAGGAATGACTGAAGTGTCATCCTGGCTTCCTCTGGTCGGGGTTCTTCTGGGGTTTCACAGTCTTTTGTGTGATGACAGACCTGCCAAGTATTTATTGTTGATGCTGGCATCCTGCCTCCTATGTGGCTTGCTTATCCTGGCAACTTGAGGCAGGTGGGTCTGGCACATGAAGCTGAAAATAGTGGTACTGCCTTTAAAAATAGTGACCTGAAAATAGGTGAGATGTAGGCCCCCTGCAGAGGAAGCATTATGCCTTGCTTTGGGAAGGGTTTGTGTGGTTGTATCCTTCAGGAAGGATCACAGAATGGGGATGCTGCTCATTTACAACTTCTGTGCTTTGCTAGAGTTGACTGGTGCACAAGTATCGCTGCTGTCAGGTAGCATTGGATCACCTTGACAGGCTGGCTTCTTCAGGTGCTGTTTAATACAGAGCAGAACAGTATGGCTCAATGGTATGCTGAAACATAACACATCAATTTAAACACCATGTGTCAGAGATTAAATTGCCCTGATGCATGTTGAAGTGAAAGTATCATTATACACTCAAAGCTCTGCAGGAAGAGAGCTTCAGTTCAAATACCCAAACTGCTGCTTGAGCTCGAGTCCTTCCTGGAATGTGAATGTTCTGGTTTCTGGATGGTAAGAGGCTATCTATACAGTACTTATTTTAACAAACAAATTTAGAAAACTCTATGAAAATTGATGTGCTCTGTATACCCTGGTGGGATGTGAGAGGCTATGAAAACACTTCCACAGTCTGGAAATGGGCTGTGGGCTTCAGGTTTCCCACTCTGGTGAAGTTCTGACTGCAGAAGCTGGGTCTAAAAGCCTGGCTGGCTGGCTCCCTTCCTCTCTTACTGAAATACACCATCAAGAAGGCCATAAATACTCAGGTACTTTGGGTTGGTTCCGGATCTTGTCCTTGAATTATAGATTTATGTCTAATTTAGTAAAGCAGGCTGGAAGCCAGGGTGTGGGTTAGGATGAAATGCTGACAAAGCACAGTAGATTTTAGGCTGGAATCCTAACGCAGCAGCAGTGGAAAGGTGGATACTGAAGGTGAGATGTGGAAGAGGCTCTGTCCCTGACACTGCACTCCCAATGTGTAGTGAGCATGTCTGCTGGGCTCAGAATGATGCACCAATGCAGATACGCTCTTGACTGCTGAAATGCAGATGGAACTTCTTCCTTCTTCTGTTCAACAGAAGGACATCTCAACTCAGTTGCTGTGAGGCTGAGCAAGCCTGAAACAGGAGTTGTGGCCTCCCTGTTAGTACGCTCAGGGCGTTACTCCTTGTGTAGCATTTTGGTATTAGTGTGTTTGATGGCAATGGCGTGTTGTAGTTTTGAGCCTGATGATGACACTTAATGGTCTGCAGGTAGCCTTGAGATCACTGAAGCAGCTTGATGAAGGACCACTGTTGGAAGGACCACTTGGTTAATTGACCAGTAATGAGTGAAGACTGATCAAGTGATACCTCCCCTTGCCCTGACTCCTGGTGCACCAGCTCTGCATGAACGAATGCAGAACATGTAGTGATGGTCCAGCCACCTCTTGTTGCCAGCTCTAACTCTTTGCCAGCAAGTGCTTTAGCAGGAGTACAAGCAGTGCTTTGGCTTCATCCATGTTCTTACCAACATTTTGTGTTACCTGCATGGACCTGGGGGCTACTAAGTGCAGCAACAGCCATTTATTTGCCTTTTTTTCCTCAAGGCAACTGCTTGTTGCAGTGAATTTAGCACCAATTCCTCTGCTAGCTAAGACTCCTCACCATACAGTACCTTGCTTCAAATATAGCTGGCCAAACATATCCACAGATATTTGGGGGTATCTTGTGTGCAAGATGAGACACAGGACTGTGATGTGATGTGATGTGCTGCTTCCTGTGTCATCTTACTTCTCTGGTACATAGACTGGGTGTGGGTACGAAAGGATGTGTGGTGCAGATGGAGGAAGAGGAGAGGGAGGTTTGAAGTGATGAACGAGCCAGGATGTCTGCATCCTTTTTGATGTGTCTGCTGATTTAGAGCATGGTCGTGGACAGGAGCGCCTGGTTGCTGTGTTTTGGATCTGGCAACTGGATTTTGTGCATGTGCCAAGGGGGTTAACCCTGTACAGAACTGCCTCAGCATCCTCTGCTGAAAACCCGCTGTCTGGAGGATTGGGATATTGTGCATTTGTATTTGTCATGTTATTTCTGACCAAGTATCATCTGGGGTCACTAAATTCAGTCTCTCTCTGTCTCCCCTTAGCTGAAGCTTGAAGATCGCTCTGTGGTCCCTCGAGATGTGGTCAGACATATGAGCTCCAGCGTAAGTGCTTTTTTCTTTGTCCTGTTTTGATTGTGATACTGCTGCATAGATTTCCGAGGCTTGCCAAATTGCCTGAATGGAACTGAACAGGAATGCTTTGAGCATGTTCTATTTTTAGTGTTTGATAGACCTAGCTGCATGCTTTGAAAATGAAATGCTGATAAGGCTGCCTCTCTGCTGTTGCATATCTGCAAAGGGCTCCTGAGCAAGCAAGCCTGATAATGCCAAGTAATGAGACAAGCTCATTTATCCTGCCATCCTTTAAGTTTTAAGTCAGTCCATGCTGGGATGAGGAGCATGGATCACTCCTGGACCTGACAGGGAGGCTGAAGCAGAGGCAGATCACATCATCACTGCTTTGCTTGCCTTTTGGTGTGCTGCGGTAGAGAATTTGGAGGCAATGTTTTCAGGAAGACCTCTCAACCTGCAGTGAGCACCATCCTGCCCAGCATCTCACAGATAGACCTCAAATCCCAACACTGCCAAAGCATCTGGCACAGACTGACAGAAAGCAAGCAGCCTGTAATCCTTACCTGTTCTCTTTCTGCACACTGTTTTAAGTCCTGCTCGTTCTGTTATAGCTGTGCTTAGCAGGGATGTGTGGATTTGGTTTTTGTGTTCAGTCTGGATCGTCAGCTGAGTTGTGGTCTCTTGAGGGGCTTTGCTAGGCTGGCAGTTTCTTACTGTAGTTCACATCTAACCTGTAACCCCGAGCCATATGGCTTGCCATGTGCCTGCATCTTCTCTTGCCTTGCTTCCAGCAACGTGGCTACCAAGGCTGTGATGAAGCAGGCAGCTGGCCACTCGCTGCTGCAGTTGCACCACATGGTGCCCAGCCTGGTGCAGGGATGGGGAAGGCCATTCTCTGAGCGGGGTGTTTTGGGCTTTTAAATAAAGCCCTTTTTTTTTGTCAATTAGAAAGTAAATCCACCCCTTTTTTACCACCAAATGTTCTAAAGAGAAGGGAGGAGAAACTTGAAGGGTAATTTGAAAAATGCTGAAACAAAGCATTTCCTTAAGAAATTGCATTGGTTTTGAAATGGAAATTCGGAGTCAACGGATGTTATTAAAGCTGCAGCTTGATGAAAGTGTTTCAGTCCCCAATAATGAAAGCAAATTGAAACATCAGCTCTTCACACCACTGTACCTGGCACAGCTGGACTCTGTAGTGTACCCTCATCACGCAGAGGGATGCTCTGAGTCCTACCTCTCAACTCTCTGTTCTCCAATGCTGCTTACAGACATTTTAAGCTTTCAGGACAGCAAATTGTTCTCCTCTTGGCAAACATGGATGTGCTGCTTTTGTTTGCAATTTCCATACTCATCTGAGCCGAACTTGGCTTCTGTGGCTTGCTGCACGTGTATCAGCAGATAAATTACCCAGCAGTTGTTTTGTATGCTCCTTTATTGTCTGTTTGCATGTTTAAACACTGGCTTTTGCTTGGCCATTTGTACTGGTGGCTGACAACTTCGTTTTCTTTAACTGAAAGGGTATAACTCAAACTATTCCCTCTATTCAAAAGCATGGCAAGCCTGAAGATGACTTATATTTCACCTTCCCCTCAAGCACGTTTTAAATGTCAGTGGTAAATGAAACAAACCCCTTCTATCCCAAAGAAAGCCTTTGCTGTTAAGCAGAATAGAAATAGAAAACAGAAGATCTGCAGGTGTCAGCCTGCCAAGTGCAGGATGTGGGATGGCTGCCCTGCACCAGTTGGCCTGGCAAATGCACAGGGTGGAACTTATTCTGTATTCACCACACGCTCTTAGGGCTTGTTTTTAACCTTGAGCGGGAAGGACTCAATCCTCTGTTCCTCAAGAGAAGAGCTGACTCAAATTCATGTGCTTTGTATCGAGCACTGAGTGTGGGGAAAGGCTGCTTCAGGGGGAATGCAGAAAATGAGATCATTCCCTCTGGATGTGGTTGGGCCTCTGAGTCTAATCCAGCTGGATGAGAAGTGCTGGAGGTGGCAGAGTTCATTTTTCCAGGTGATAGGCTCCTCTGGGAAAAGAATGTATATAGGTGTCTGTAATCTGGATTGTGCTGCTTCAGAGGGTGCCGGGCTATGCTGGCTCTTTTAAATGAAGGAATAAGAGGTTGTTATAAAAACCTCCTTATTCAAAAAGAGAGTGATGAAGGAAAGAGTGGAACGATGGGAAGTAGAAGATGCAGGAGTGAAGCCTGTTCTTGCTAAGCTGCTGTTCTTTCAGGTTGGAGTTTGCTGCTCTGCCTTAAAGCCTTGTCTCTAATGAGGAAGGCAGAGTTTTCTCCATTCACTGCCTAAATATTCAGTATCTCTGATGTGGTGCATGCTGTCAGGGAACCAGAAGCAGCAGGAAGGAAGTCCAGGAAGTGCACTTGAGCCTGGTTTAAGTGGGACTTGAACCCATCAACTCTTCTTCAGATGAGTCCCCTCCCTTTTCCAGTTCTGCTGTTGGGGTTGATGGACGTGGAGTTTTTTGGACCAGAACTGCGAAATGTCAGCTCATTCCTCCCTTTAATGGGAGCATCTAATGAACAGGCTGGGCCAGTTGTGCTGGAACAGGCTGGTGGGGAGCCTGCCCTGGGAGACAGGAGACACGGTGGTGACTTCTTGCTCTGGGACTGCATTGCTGAGCTGCTGTAATGGGAATGATTCAGCAGAAGCCCTCGGCTGCAGATCTGCCTCCCCTGTCGCAGGCTGGTGCTTCATGTGACAGGGAAGTAAATAAACTCCCCATAAACACAGGTTCAGTGGCAGGTGAGGGAGAGCTGTGACTCAACAGCTCCCAGCATTGATCTCTGCTTTCCTAACCACAGCCAGGGCTCTCTGCTCACTCAAGTGCCCTTCAAAGATGAAACAAGATGAACTAAACCCATGGCTAATAGCACCCGACTGTGTTAGATGGGAGGCTGGCTTGTAGGGTGGTGCAGGCACCTTTTCCATCTGGAAGCTGTCTCTAAAGTATGGGCAGAGGGTGCCAGTGTCACCCCAGTCCTGGGTTTATCACTTTCAGCATCAATAAAAGAGGGGGTTTAGGCCCAGAGACAAGATGATGCACAGGAACCTCAGGTGTTGGATTGCTTCATGTCTCAAAGCTGCTGTCATGCTGGCTCCTGATAAAGGCAAAAAGAACTCTGAAGTGCTCAGCATGGAGCAAGGAATTTTGTTGCTTGAGGGTTTTTTTTTTTTTGGTTCTGACTATTAAGGAACCTAAACCACAGGGCCTGAACTGCAGGGCATGGGTAGAGGATGGACTGGGCATGCCTGATTTACCTTCATGTGCAGGGAAAGCAGGGTGGTGGCCGTGCTGCAGCCTGCAGGAGCTGTGGGCTGGTGGAGCAGGTGCCACCTCTGAGCTGGCCTGGCTCATCCTGCAGCTCCAATCCTGCTGGCAGTGGTTGTTGTGGATCTGGGGGAGTTCTGGCAGCTCCTTTTCAGGTGAGAGATACAGAGCAGCTCTGCTGGGCTCTACCCTGGCAGCCTGTGCAGGCTGCGAGCTGCTGTCTGCCATGGCGGAGCTCCCATCGCTTCCCAGCCTTAGAAAGAAATGGGAATGATAGGTAGACCAGATGGAGGGAATGAGCCCAAGTGCTTCAGGCTCTGCCAGCCCTCCTGGCCGTGCTGGCACAGCTTTGCATGGGCAACGCATGGGGCAGGACCCACTCCTCGTCATCACTGCCTCAGGAGCCAGGAGGCTGCAGGGCACAGCTTTAATGGGATGTGAGGAGGGAAGACTTGCAACAGGCAGGTGGAAAGCCAGCCAGCCAAATGGGCTGAGCAATCTGTCCAGGATTTATCCTGGACTGCGGGTGTCTGTAGGGTGTCTTTGCTCTTAACTACCAGTTCCCAAGACGGGGCTGGATGTGTTGAGCACCAGCAAGCTCCTGAAGTCCCAAAAGGGCTGCCTTGGGGCTCAGAGTGAAAGCCTTGAATAAATAGTTAATGTAATCAAAGGAGCAGCATGTTTACAAGTGGGACTGAGCAAACAAATCCGCTTCTCACAGGGTTTAAGCCCTTCAAGTGTTTTGCTCAAGTCCTCTTGGAGCAGAGACCTTGATGCTTGAGATAAGGACAGCTTCAGGAGTTCTGATACCAGGATGTTTGTCACGCTGGCCCTCAGATAGCTTTTATAATGGGCTTGTAGTCGTTAATAAATCCGTATCAGTTGTGCCAGGAGGCCAGGGCAGCTGCTGCTCTGACAGTGTTTGGGTTAGCAGTCCTTCCTTGCAGGCCTCCACCATATGTGTGAGCAACATGCACATTGTGTGCTCCCTGCCAAACCACCTCCAGAAGGCTCTTGACAGCACGCAGAAGTTTCCTGGGGGCAAAAAAAGGTTAAAACTTTGCTAAGAAATGAGGGAGATAATGACAACCACGTCCTGATTGGAGCAACTGTGAATGATCTGCCTTGAAACCTCACTAGAGGTGCCAGGTTTGTAGTAGTTATTTTTTCAGCATGGCAGCACGTGAAGACCATTTCTCGTGTCCTCCAAAACTGAGCTCAGCATGAAAAAGTCACAGCTTTAAAGGATTCATAGAATCCCAGCCTGGTTTGTGTCAGAAGGGACCTTAAAGCTCCTCCAGCTCCAACCCCTGCCATGGTCAGGGACACCTTCCACTAGAGCAGCTTGCTCCAAGCCCCTGTGTCCAACCTGGCCTTGAACACTGCCAGGGATGGGGCAGCCACAGCTTCTCTGGGCACCCTGTGCCAGCGCCTCAGCACCCTCACAGGGAAGAGCTGCTGCCTAAGAGCTCATCTCAGTCTCCCCTCTGGCAGGTTCAAGCCATTCCTCTTGGCCTGTCCCTACAGGCCCTTGTCCAAAGCCCCTCTCCAGGTTTCCTGCAGCCCCAGAGCAGCTGTAAGGCTGCTCTAAGGTCTCCCCAGAGCCCTCTTTTTTGCTCTGGAGTTGATGATCTACCTCTGCCTTTACCGTCTCAGGGCAGTACCTGCAGGAAGGTCCTGTGGAATTGCAGAGGTCTGCTCCCTTGCACAGACCAAGGAGCCAGGCAGTTTTTAAAGCAAGCTCCCATCACCTGACACTGTGTTCTTATTTGACCAGATGCAGCATTCTCTGGGCTGCTACTTTAACAGCCATATTAAGTGGGAAGAAATTACAGGTATTTAAGTGATCTCACCTTCTGAGTTGCCTTAAGGTCCTCTGAAGTGCCCTTTCAGAATGAGGGCCTGAAGAGTAAGACTGAACAGGCTTGAAAGGCTACTTGCCTCTGCACTATGTGCATAGAGCACTTGTGTGTGTGTAAGACCTTCCCCCGGTGATAAACTCTTCCTGTCTTTTGCCTTTTCAGGACAGCCAGTGTGGAACTGTAATTGATGTCAACATAGAGTGTGCTGTGAAGTTGGTAGGAACCAACTGCATCCTCTACCCTGTCAACAGTAAAGATCTGCAACATATCTGGGTGAGAACACAGCCCAAATCCACGTGGGAGCCAGGGCTTGGTGGTTTGGAGGGATGCTGCTGTATTCCAAGTAACACATGCAAGGGAAGAATCCATATTGTGCAGAAAGCATCTGCAGCTTGGTTTTATTTTAAACTTACCACAAGCACCCTCCCTGGAAGAAGATGATGCAGCATCACCTCATCTCCCCATCTGTTCTGTGTTTCTGATCACATTGCTGAGGCCAAATTGACTTGAAGGGCAAGGCTGACATTCAGTTGTGTGAGAACTGAGATGGGCTGGTGTGCCAACCTGATTGGGGCAGCCTCATGGCAGTGGCACAGAGCTTTTGAGCTGTCGGTACTGTTCAAACAGGCTAATAAAATGCTGAAAGGAGCTGAGCATCTTTCTGTTGAGCTGGAACAGTCTGAACCAGATCTGGTTCTCCCCTTGAGTGGGTGGATGGTTTCCAGAGACCAGGCAGGATTTCATCATTCTTTTTCCTGTGAGATAAAGGTAATTTGGGAGTGAAGAGCTGGAGTGTTGCAGCCTTTCTCAGGACATAGCCTATGGAAAGGCAGTGGGATACAAGCTTGTCCGAGATGGAAAGCTAGTCTCAGTGATAACAATTGCTAGTATTAACTGAAGGCAAGTGTTAGTACGCCTCTACCTTGCAGAGCACCTCCTAAACTGAACAGGACACTTAAAATGTGAGGGGAAAAATATCCCAGAGAGAGCCTGAGCTTTTGAACTGGAGAATCCAGGCTCTGTGCTGACTGTGAAACAAACTTTGATGCACCTTAATTCCAGTTTATAGGAAGATCTGCAATTTCTGTGAGGAGTTCCTTTGAAATTGCTCTCTAGTCTGCATGGTGTAAGGACTTATGGCTCAAAGTACAAGGGTTAATATGTATAAGGTTTTGTTTCCTGTTTTCTTTGTAGCCTTTCATGTATGGTGACTACATAGCCTATGACTGCTGGCTGGGCAAGGTCTATGATTTGAAGAACCAGGTCATCCTCAAGCTTTCCAATGGAGCCAGGTACTTCTTGCTGTTGAAGAGTATCCCTCTGTGGCTTTCACAATGCTGATCTGTTTTAGGAGAACCAGAAACAGACTTCATTCCCATACTGATGAGTTATCTGCCTGCTTTATCTTCAGATGTAGAGTAAGAGTACATCTGTCTCTGAAAACATTAAGGTTCATTGGTCACCCTCTGGAAAAGCTGTTGCCTGGAAGGTGACAGTTTTCTTCAGTCCCAGCAGATCAGTGCTTCAGAACTCAAGCACGTTGGTCCTTAAACTGCACTTCTGGTCTGGAAAATAGCTGTTTAATATGGGCTGCTGTTCCAGACCTGTTCTCAGTAGGAGAGGAAAACTCCACTGAGAGGATTGTTACCTTAAGAAAGGTCTGTGAAAGTGTAGGAACTTGGAGGCTGGTGAGTTTTATGAAACCAGGATTGAACAGCTTTGCTTGTTCACTGTTGTTTGCAATTGTAGTAGGAATGTTTTTTTAATGAAGACCTAATCCAAAGTTATCTCTAGAGAGAGATTTAACCAGAGGTATTGAAAATGTCTGGTTACTTTCTGCAGAGCCAGCAGAAGGATCTGAATTCTGTTCCTTCTGCATGTTGGACAGTTACCTGGGGGCTAAACCCCTCTGAATTCACTGCATTCACTGGCACTGAAGCCTGTTTTGTCCAACAAACTTTACTGATGCAAGGGAGGGCCAGGAGGCTTATAGGCCTGGAAGCTGGGAAATAGCCCATCTGTCTTGTAAATGGAGTGTTGATGTTTAAAACCTCCAAACCCACAATCCTGCAGGCAGCTCTGAGCCTTTCTAAGAGAAGCAATGTGAGAGCTATAACAGATGACTGGTGGATGTGTCTGATTTTGATTGTTTCAGCGTTTGTTTCAGGCTGGGAGTCTCTTATGCATATGCTAAACTGGGAGTGAAAAATAGCTCCACTTCTTTATCTGTATCTCCTGCAGTTACTGCTGCAGCTTAAAACCTTCTTGCTGTCTGTTACCGGCTCATACATAGCTATGTGAAATGAGGTAACTGTTTCCAAAATCTCTTCCTAATGAATCATTTGAAATCCCATCAGAACTAACTCTGGAAGTGAAGCTGTTGCTGAAGCAAGATACCCCACTTGCCTTGAGGTTCCAGCATCAGTGTGAATAACAAATGTGAGCTTTAAACCAGATATGTTTAAGATTGCTTGAATTTATTATTACTTAATGATTTTACTTCTTTTTACATGCTGAATGGAACCTTTAGGTACCAAGCAGGGCTTTTAGAACTTGTCTGTAACCAGCTTTGCTCTGGACCATAAAGGCTCAGTGATACACTGCAGGGTGTATGGACAGACCCACTCAGGCAGTGTCAGTTGGTTTGGTGGTGTTTGCTTTTGAGGTGTTTGGCTCTGGAAGCGTGACTGTGTCTCTTGTCTGTTTTCCAGGTGTTCTATGAGCACAGAAGATGGAGCCAAGCTGTATGATGTCTGTCCTCATGTCAGTGACTCGGTGAGCTTCTGCTTCTCCTGAGAGTCTTTTTGATAACCTTCATCTTGTAAGCTTCTTGTGCAGGAGGGAGGGAGAAGGCAAAAGTATAGCCATTTATTAATCCTAAAATTAAACGACGCATCACAGCTGAAAAGCACTTCACTAGCTCTTCACTTGAAGTGTAACAGAATGTAGCTTAAAGGTGATGTTAGTAATGAGCAGGTTTTGTGGAGGTATTACAATTCACAAATCCAACTGCTTCCTTCGCAAACAACTTGCATAACACGTAGTCAGATGGCTGATGTCAAGGCAGTTCACTGCTCATTAGATCTGTACATGCTTGAAAAGGCTCTAATGCTTTCAGAATTGTTCCCCTTCTGGAAAAGGGCACGTTGAAAAGGTGTTGTGCTAGAAGCACCTTTCCACACCACATAAAGCACTGTCTCTCTTGTTATTGTGGTCCATCGTGTTCTCTGAATGGAGACCTGCAACCATACTGGCATTTTCCAAATCATGTGCTGGGGAAGGTTTTGCTAGCTTTTGGGCAGACCAGAATTCCCTGTGTGGTGATGGGATCTAACCTCTCTTACCTTTAAAGAGTGACAGCTTGCTTGTTCTTCCAGTGCCATCAGTATGGCCTTGCTGTATTCCTGCAGTGACACTGGGAGTTGACTGAGAATGGTGTTAAATTCTTGGGAGCTAGCAATGCAGTCAGCCCCTATCCATCCCAGCCTTCAAATCCAAGGTCCCTTTGAACTAAGACAGCACTTCTGCCAAAATCTGACGCCTGTTTCTTGAAGAGTAAATGGAGTATCAGTTTAATAGGATGTGCTGCTGCTGTTTTCTTGTTCTGTACAGAAAAGGAGTGGTCTGCTTCTGGATATTCTCCAGTATCTTCCTCTCAGCTGCTTTGGGTTGTATGATTCCAGTATGTTTGCTGCTTGTAGTAGCACCCGCTTTCTGGTTACCCAATTTTGAGCCCTTGTTTTGAGTCAGGCTGTGTTTGAATCCTACGTAGCTCTCTGGAGACCTGGGGTTTCATCTGAAACAGGAATTGTCTCCAGTGTTACTCTTGTTCCCCTTCTTGAAACTTACCTGACTTGGATCTTGTCACACTGCTCTTACCCTTCCTGACAAATTACAAGACTTGATACAGGTTTGTGTGCTCAGGATTTTATCTACCTTACAGTGCTCTGTCCACCTCCACACTCTGAGTCTGAAGTCCCTCTAAATATCAGAGGGAAGGGGCTCTAGGAGAGCAGTTGTGTTTGTCCTCGTTTGCTTTCAAAGAACTATCATATTAACTAACCAACCCAAGACAAATAATACTTAACAATGAATTTGAGGAGGAGAGGAGTGAAGGCAGGTATCCTCTGGCTCTGAAAGCTATAGGTGCTTGAATCGGGGCATGGAAAAGAGATAGTGCCCTTGCCCAGGGCTCAACCCACCTTGGCTACCTTGAACTGAGAGCTTTTGTGTGGAAATACACATCTTTTGTTTCTTGCAAGTTCCTTTGCTTCTCCCCGCCTTGAGTCATAGTCCTGTTCAGATGTGTGACAGAGCAGGTTGCTATAGGAACTGCTATAGGAGAGGAATGAGCTTTAGGAGATGGGCAACTTGCAGACTTTACCCTTACGGTTAATCTTACTGATCACAAATGAGACGCAAGCAATGCTAGAATCGTAAATCTTACAGTCCTTCATGCTGGTTTTTCCACCTCCTTTCCCCCCACAGGGTCTCTTCTTTGATGATTCATATGGCTTCTATCCTGGGCAAGTCCTCATTGGGCCTTCTAAAGTCTTCTCCAGCGTGCAGTGGCTGTCGGGTGTGAAGCCTGTTCTGAGCACAAAGAGCAAGTTCAGAGTGGTGGTGGAAGAGGTAAGGGCTGAGCAGCAGACATAGAACCACCTGCACAGGCCTTGCCTGGGGCTTTGGAGCACAGTTAGCTTGCCATGGGCACCTTCCACAAGCACATGCACTGTGGCTGTGTTCTCCTGAGGTGACAAATTCCTCACTGTGGATTGATAGGACTGTTGAGCATGGTTTGGCTTTGCCTCCCTGACAGCACCCTGCAAGGTGATCATGTGCCAATACACTTAGAAGCTGAGCATTAGGGCAGTAGAAACACCTCTTCTATTGGAACTCAAGGCTGCATACTATCCAGAAAGGGAGGAATGTTGCTGACTCCAAGAGGGAGCAGCTCCAAGTCCATTAGCATATCTCTGTGACATTGGGCTGCTGATTTGTATGTATATAGCTTCCTTCCCAAGCCATGGGTCATCTTTCTTGGAGTTAAGAACTCTAGAAACTCTTGGTGTTGCCAAGAGCCAGGCTATGGGAGCACACACAGGTTTGCTGCTTTCCTGGCTGCAAGGATGCAGATCCTAGACACTGGTCAAGGAAAGCCTTTGGGAAATTGAGTTGCCTTTTCTCTCTTTACATTGTAGGTACAGGTGGTGGAACTAAAGGTTACCTGGATCACTAAAAGTTTCTGTCCTGGAGGTACTGACAGTGTGAGCCCTCCTCCCTCAGTAATCAGCCAAGAGAAGCTGTCCAGGTGAGAGAACCCTTTTCACTCCCAGCACCCAGTGCCTGTACAGACTGTGGGTGACTTGCCTGCTAACTGATCAGACACAGTGCTGCTCTTCCTTGATCCATGTCTGCATATTCCAGAGCTTCAAAATGTCAGAGAATAGCTTCCAAATCAGTTTAGCAGATGCTTGAGTTACCAACACAAGAGCTAGCATCTCCAAGTACTCTCCAGCTGACAAGTGAATAGAGGAAAGGAGTGTTTGGCAACAGGTCACTTCTTCCCTCATCCTTCCACTTGTCTGGAGTAGGGGCATCTGTTCTCTGTGTGTGTAGTAGGCAGCTGAGGTGTCCTCTCCAGAGCCAGCACTGGTGCTGAGGGAGCAGCTGGTGCCCTCTGCAGGCCGCAGCTGCAAAACTGGGCTGGATGCAACTCAGCAGGGAAAGTCAGATGAATAACAGCTCAATGCAGTGGGGGTTCCTGCCTGGAGTTCATAAGCTGGAGCAGAGCAGCTCTCAGATGACAGCAAAAAAAAACCAATGCCCACTTCAAATGTCTCTTGGCAGCATCTCTGGGAAGGGGAGCTGGAGGGAAAGGAGTCACTGGTATCCCACCCAGTCCCTGGTGAGGTCCCCACTTTCCCTTTAGAGCTGTGTGCCTAGGAATGATCTGTTGTGGTGTTCAGCTCCTGCCACCCCAGAAGAAGAGCCGTTGGCATGAGTCTTGCTGGGCACTGCTAGGTTCTGCTACTGCTTTTGCACTTTGCTCATGGCTGTCCTCCTGTCCCACCAGGGTAAAGCGGCTGGGGTGCTTTGACCATGCCCAAAGGCAGCTTGGAGAAAGGTGTCTCTATGTGTTCCCAGACAAAGTGGAACCTGCTAAAATCACCTGTGAATGTCCCGAAAGGAACTGTGTTCTGGGTGAAGGGTCAGTTGCCAAAAAGGTGAGTTGAGGGCTCGAGGGAGTCCTTATCTTCTCGTAGTATTTCTGGTTGCTTTGGCTTTTAGAGCAGAAACCTTCCGCACTGTCATGCAGCCTGAAATGTGACTCCTGAAGTGGTGGCTGTAAAGAGTAATGGCTCCTTCTTGCCAGCAGCCAAGTCACCTTGTGCAGCAGCCTGACTTCACTGGGTGAAGCATGCGGCTAATGCCGTGAGAGAACACGAACAGGACCTTGAACACACTCAGCACCTCGCAGGGGTCGAGCTGTGTCAGAGCTGGTGTGCTCTGACAGCCAGGGCCATTAGACACACGCTGTTTTCATTAGCATGGCCTCAGGTTTCTCATGGAGCTGTGCTGTTCAGTTAAATCCTTGCTGCAGTGACACAAGGCAGAAGTCTTTGCATCCTAGGCCAAGTGAGTCACGCTACAGCTTCTACATGCTGGCAGCAGAGCAGCGGTGTTCCTAGAATAACAGGATATCATCAGTGGGGATGGTGACCTCCCTGCATAGCTCTGTCTGCTACATAGATTAACGTGTGACCTTCCATAACAAAAACTTCAGAAAAAGCTTAAAATAGCCTGCAGGAGCAAAGCTCACTGCCCTTGGACTAGCCCAGTGCTGCTGTCTTTGGTTTGTGGGACACTCTGGGGCCCGTGAACTGTGCAGAGGCCTGTGGGGTGCTGTGTTCCTCTGTCTGCAAAGCTGGCTGGGAGCTTGTGGGGTGCCCAGGTGTTGTCTGACTCAGCTCTGCTTTCTGTAGGTGAGGCGGCTGCTGAAGAAGCAGATAGTGAAGATCATGTCCTGCTCCCCAGAGTCTCAGGGTACCAGTGAGTCCCCTGACAAAGAGGCTGCTGCAGCTGATGACCAAAAGTCAGAAGAGCTTAAGCCTGAATCTAAGTGTGAGCTGGATGACTCTCCTACCAGTGCACCGAGTCCTGAGGAGAGCAAGGAGGAGCAGCCAGAGGAAACAGGGAAGGAGAAAGAGGGAGCAGCAGCACGACAGCAGCCTCCCTTTCTGCTGAAAGACGAAGGGTTGTCCGACTACCGGCTTCAGTCCATGGAGCAGGATGCTGATGATGAAGCAGCCGATGACACTGATGACACGAGCTCTGTCACCTCTTCTGCTAGCTCCACGGCCTCATCCCAGAGTGGCAGCGGCACTGGGCGCAAGAAGAGCATCCCTCTTTCCATCAAAAACTTGAAGCGGAAGCACAAGAAGAAGAAGACAAAAGTCTCCCGAGAGTTTAAGCCAGGAGACAGGTGAGTTGGGCTTCCAAAGCCTGGTAGACTTGCCAGAAATCTCCCTTACCAAGGTTCCCAGATATAAACCACCTCCTCAGCTTGAGTGGAAGGTGATGACGTGCCTCACGTTAGAATACCCTTAGTAGTAACCAACAGTGATTCTCCTGTGATGACTGCAGTGGCCTGTGTGGAATCAGCTTGGTCCCAGTCCAGCTGCTGATGAAACTGGGGCCTCATGACATGACACTGATGCTATTTTATTTCAGCTATGTCTCAGGGCATTGCAGAATGTCTGTGTTGCATTAGACTCTAATGCAGGGAAAGAGACGGGTGAATAAAGATCACACAGCTTAAACATGACATGAATTGGTTACCCCATTGGCAGCTTCTGCAGAGAGGCTGAGGACAGGTCATGCTTGCAGGAGTGGACAGTTTCTCCTCCCAAGAGCTGTCTCCAGGTGAGCAGGGAGCTGTGTTGGCAGGGGTTCACACTGCAGTGGTCTCTATTAGCTTTACCCTGCTCTGGAGAGAATGGGCAACTTTTGCCAGCAGTATACTTTATATTGGGTTTTTAATGGGCAAAGTGCACTCCTTGAGAGCCTTGGAGGGATTGATTTCATAGCCTGGGGGAGGAGGGAGCATTGCCTGTGTCTGCCTGTTTCTAGATAAAACTAGATCTCAGCAGCTTTTCCCTTTTACCTCATTTGAGAATGTTTAAACTCTTCATGGGATGCAGTCTGGCAATTGGCTTCCTCGGGCTGCTTAGCTGTATACAGATCCTGCACCAGAAATGAGCTAGTGTGAGATACGTGAGAATCCGGGCAGAGAAGTGGCAGGATCAGGATTCAAGGGACCCAATAGTTTGAGAATGCCATGAACTTCAGTCACGTTTTGGTTAGGTGTTTTAGCTTTGCCTGCATGTCAGGAGAGCTGCTCCTTTAGTCCTTGTGGGGTTTGGAGAACCTGGATTTGAAGGTCACAAGTAGTATTCAAGTGACAGAGCAGGAGTGTGTGATGGAGATCATGGGAACTGATTCTGGCTTCACTTTTCACTTCTCACCCCTTTGCTGGGGCCTCAGTTTCACTAAAGGCTTTGTTAAGGAGAGCATAGTAGCTGGTGGACCTGGCAGCTTTCTGCACCATACAGGCACTGGGAAGAAATCCCTGTGACAACGCAGATTCCTGGGCCTGATCTGGGCAGCTCCAAGAAGGAAATGCAGAGGTCAGATGTCAGGGCCCTTTGCAGGGATGACCATGCTGCAGAGAATAAGGAACTAGAAGCTTTTTCAGCACAGAATGTGAGCCCCCAGCTGGTACTCTACAGGACACATGTGGCAGCTGGTCACAGCTCAGCAGGAGGGGTCTTTGCTGGGTGAACATCCAGCTGAAGCTGGTGCCCATCAGTAGATGCTGCCAAGCACTGCTGAGAAATGCAGGGTGGCTGGGCTGGCTGTAGTCAGTCACCACATCTGACCTGGCACCTCATGGGCATCTCTGCCTGCAGGAGCCAATGCAACGTGCGGCTTTCCCATCATTCAATGACCTGCTGCAGCTCTCCAGGCAGCTCATGGACCTCTGGTTGTTTTAGTGAGGATGTAACAGGGGGTTTTATTCATGTTAAATCATGATTGTCCTGTTTGTGAAGCTGCAGACAAGGCTGGAGCATTTCCTTCCAGCCTCTCCACTCTCCCATCCTCAGCTTCGCATAGTCCCACTTTCCCCAAGGAGCCATCTCTGGGCATGTCACCCACCACATGTAACCTGTTGCAGACTTGTTCTCTGATACTCTGCTGTTGAGTGCTGATCCCACAAGGAACTTCATGTTATCTTCACTTCAAAGTATTTCTCTAACACTCCAGACCCTGCTTTGATGCTGTTGGGTCTTCCATGCATAAAAACAGGGCTGGGGAAAACAGTTGTATTTGCCTGTTGGATCTTCTTGATGGATTGACTTGAAAACAGCACAAATGCAGCACTTTTGTTATGTCTGGAAGGCCTGGCCAGCAAAATAAAGACAAGGTTTAAACACTGCATGAGTTTCAGTTTGTTCTGTGCTATAGGAAGGATGGAAATGGTGGAGGGCTCATTAGAAGAGGCGGTCCAGCTAAACTGCAGCTCTTCAACTTCTCAGCTTGCCTCTTCAGGCGGTTTAGTCAAGCTCTACAGCAGAGGACCAGCATGTGGTCCATTGTTGCATGTGTGGGCTTGATTTCTGAGCTGCAGACACACATGGATGTGTTTGAACAGCTGAGAAGGAGACTTTCCTCCTTTCAGACAAAATCCTTTTGCTTTACCCGTAATCAGTGTGTTTTTTGTTTGGTGTTTTTTCTGGAAGGGCTAAGATGAATGCTGCTTTAGCTTTCCTTTCCACTCCCATGCTCCTTTGGCTTCAAAGATGACTCAGAGCTGTCAGGCAGAAGGTGCTTCAGTGGAGAAGTTCTTAAGGTTCAAAGTATTTGAAGCTCTTGTTGTGCCTCTGCCAGGGGTTAGAAAGTGGGTGCTGGTAGATGTTAATGTGCTCCACTAAGATTAAAAGTGAGCTCAGCATCAGCTCCCTGGAAGGGAAGAAGTCCTGTAATACAAGCTTGCAGCAATGTAACGTCTGCAGGATGATGGAGAACCTGTCAGAACAAAGCCACTGGGAAGAGGTGGGTTTCTGACATCCCAACCTGCTGATGAGCGTACCTTTGTGTTGCTGAGATCTATCTTGATTCTTGAGGTCAGCAGCATCACGTTCTGGCTGTGATCATGCACATTCCCTCTGGTAACTCATCGCCTTTCCGTGTTCCCAGGGTTGCTGTGGAAGTGGTGACCACGATGACTTCGGCTGACGTGATGTGGCAGGATGGCACCGTGGAGACAAACATCCGCTCCAACGAGCTGATTCCCGTCCATCATCTGGACAACAACGAGTTCTGCCCTGGGGACTTTGTGGTGGACAAAAGAGGTATTGGGTGTCAAAGCAATCCTCTCCTTGGGGAGCAAACATGCTCTTAAATGCAGAATATTCTTCAGTCTTTATCTCCTAATGTACATTGCAGCCCTTTTTATGGTAGGCTTAGTAGTACTCACTGGAGGTAGGCGCAGGAGCCTAACAAGGGACAGTGATTCAGCCAACTTAATGTGAGTATCAGTAGAGAACTGTTATTTAACTACCATTATTTAAACTGTTGAACTGTGATAACAGGCGAGCTGTGGAAGGAATAAATGCCAAGGAGCAAAGCTGGGATTCTCAGAGCAAAGCTGGGATTCTCAGTGTTTCTGTACAGTAGAGGTGGCCACCTTCTCCTTGAAAGCCCTGAGCTCTGTTGCAGAACAGGAGGAGAAAGGAACAGCTCACTTAAGGCTGTTTCCTCTGTATGGCTTGTTTGTCATGACACACACCCCACCCCACACCCCCATTGTTTTCAGGGAGGGGTTGTGGGATCCAGAGGCATCTTGCTTCCCCTTTCTTCACCAAACCAATTGATGACACTGGTGAGGGTCACAGTATGAATTCAAGGACACTTACAGCTTTTGGCCATGAAATATGATGGCACACCATCTGCTTTCAGCTCTTTTTCTAGCAGGGATAGTCCCTCAGCAGTAGAGAGCACAAAGTATTGTCAGATTGGACTCTGATAGTCTTTGTGTGATGCTGAAGAGGTACCAAAAGGCCCACGGAGCTGCTGCGGGGGCTGGAGCAGCTCTGCTCTGGAGCCAGGCTGAGAGAGCTGGGCTGGGTCAGCCTGGAGAAAAGAAGGCTCCCGAAGGGGAGACCTGAGAGCAGCTCCAGTGCCTAAAGGGGCTGCAGGAAACCTGGAGAGGGGCTTGGGACAAGGGATGTAGGGACAGGCCAAGGGGAATGGCTTTAACCTGCCAGAGGGGAAACTGAGCTGAGCTCTTGGGCAGAAGCTCTTCCCTGTGAGGGTGCTGAGGCGCTGGCACAGGGTGCCCAGAGAAGCTGTGGCTGCCCCATCCCTGGCAGTGTTCAAGGCCAGGTTGGACACAGGGGCTTGGAGCAAGCTGCTCTAGTGGAAGGTGTCCTTGACCGTGGCAGGGGTTGGAACTGGGTGAGCTTTAAGGTCCCTTCTGACACAAACCAGTCTGGGATTCTGTGGTTGTATGATTTGAGAGCAGAGCACTGAGGGGACAGTGTGTTTTCTCTTGGTGATAAAGCTCAAAAGCGGATGTGTTCACCCAGTCCAATAATCTTATTTTAACATCACTCTGTGCCCCATTAAAGTGCAGCTCATTAGCTGAGTACAGTTGTGACTGTGCAGAAGTGTTTTTCCTCCTGCCATTCACAAATGGAAGGTTTCAGCCCAGAGAGCTTGGGAGCCAACAGCCTCAGTTGCTGTGCAGAGTCTCTGCTTTTCACTCACCTTGCCTGTTTTCTTCCCTACCCTTGTGACCCAAAGCTCAGAGCTCCCAGGACCCTGGCTTATATGGAGTCGTGCAATCTGGTGACCATATTGGCCGTACCTGCGTGGTGAAGTGGTTCAAGTTGAAATCCAGTGGAGATGATGTGGAGGTAAGTGCAGGAGCCAGTGCTTGTTGGAGCCAGCTAAGAGAAAAGCAACCACAAAACACACAGGCTTCACACATAGACACATTTAAGCCTGGGAGTCAGCTCTGCAGTGGAGTTTGTCCTTGAGGATGGGAACAGCTATGTGCTTTTGGCCCTGTGAGGCTTAACTACGTATTTCTAGATGCCTCCTAGGCAGTGAAGACAAAACAGAGTTTCTGTCCCATAATCAGCATCAGGCTGAAGGTTATTGCTGAAGTTATCAGGGACAGTTGATTTGTTAAGTTCACTATAAGAATTTTTCCTTCCCATGGCTTTGCTAGCTCATGGAAAGAGAATCAGCCTATTGCCTGTTGTCCTGCTCGCTCTGCTGGGCACTGTTGCCTATAGCAGCCTGACGCCTTTTTCTCAGGGCTTGTATGAACACTGTTTAGCAGAGTCCTGATAGACTCTGGTCTAGCTGGGAGATGAGGAGGATTCAAGCCACACAAATGGGGTGGGAGACCACATTGTCAGAACTGAGCAGAGCCCTTTACATCTAGAAGTGGAACATGAGTCAGGCCTGGGATCGTGCTCCACTTCACCCATTTCTCATTAGCTGTGAGGCTCCTAGCTCTCTTCCTTCAGGAGAAATCAAAGGAAAGATGTTTCCTATTAATTGACAAGGCTTTTATCAGGCACTTCCCATTGCCTTGGATCATTTCAGAAGTGAACTCAAACCCTTCAGGCTCCAGCAAACTGCTTTGAGAAATCTGGGTGTTCAGAAGGGGATAAAATGCTGTGCTTGCATGTCTTGTGATCATAGTGATGTAGAACCTGAAGTAAAGGTGAGGATGAGCAGATGACACAGAATATCTGCTTCCTTTCGCTGTTGTACCTTGACTGATGTGCTGCAGGATGAGGTGACAGGAAGGGACATCAGCAGCTCCTTGCAGGCTGTTGGACAACTGGAAATTGACCCCATATAACACAGTACTTCTAAGCGTTGCAGGCATGTTCTGCAGGGCAGTGCAGCATCCTGGGGCTGACATGTTCACGTTCTGTGCTGCAGCTGATCGGGGAGGAGGAGGATGTGAGTGTGTATGATATTGCTGACCACCCAGACTTCCGCTTCCGCACCACTGACATCGTGATCCGCATTGGCAACTCGGATGGAGCCACAGCTAAGGAGGATGAGGTGGGTTCTGGGCACAGTTACGTGACTACATTGTCAGCAGCTATTAGTGGAGACACTTGAGAGAGTCAGTCTTATGGCGTCAGGCCCCACAGGGGGTATCCTAAGCTTCTCAGCTTCCTCGCTTTGTATTGGTGCTCCCTGCTGTCGTGAGTAACACATCAGATCTCTAAGTCTGGAGGTGTAACCTTGAAATCCTTTGCTTTTTGGTGACAGAGTCTATAGCAGAGCAAACATAAAGTGGGGACAAGAAGCAAACATGCCTGAGTGGGGTTTAGTAAGAGTCTTGCTTGAAGTTTCAGGATAATCTCTGTTATGAGGATATTCTGTGGGCTCCTGAGCAAGAGTGAAGGTGGATTTGTTATTAAACCAGTTTCATTTGGCAGCAGAAGACTGGGGTTGTGGTTTTCATCTGAGCTGTTATGTACATGTTAATTCTGTTGATCTCCTGGCGAGGAAGAGGGAACAATTTATATTGTAGAGGTCGTGCTCTGCTGGGAAAGCAGCGTCCTCGGTGTGCAGGGAAGACCTCCAGCTTTTGAGACTGCTGTCCTAAGTGAGAGTTAAAAGGTGCAGTGTGGCTCTTCCTGCAGCTCCAGTTTCAGCAGCATGAAGCACATCCCAGCTGCCCTACATAACCTCCTTCCAGTGCAAGGTGCTGCGCACACCCCGTGCCAGTGGGGACTTCTCTGTTCTCTCCCTGCGGGGAGAAGCTGCTGGGAGCCCCTGGTGCTGGGATCCCACTAGAGGGCAGCCCCATTCCAGGGAAGGTCCTGTCTCCTTCCTGGCACAGCCCTGCAATGGCCCTGGGCCTGCTTAGAAACCAGATCTCCTGCCAGATGAGCCCTCCCGGTTCCTCCCCTCCTTGGGCAGTGAACACTTGGGAGAGCGTTCCCCTTCTCTACGGCAGTGTTGTGGGATTTCTATGTGATTCTTTTCCCCCTTGGCATGGGAACCCAGCACTGCTGCTGCAGACTGCAAGCATTGCTCTAGGTGCTTATCCAGCTGGGAATATCTCTTTCTCAAACCTTCCTGCTCTGCACTTCTGGAGGAGGAAAGGGATTGACAAACTGCTCTTGTCTCCACAGCCTTCAGTCGGACAAGTGGCTCGTGTGGATGTCAGCAGTAAAGTGGAAGTGGTGTGGGCTGATAACTCCAAGACTATTATTCTGCCTCAGGTGAGGTCCTGTTCCAGCTTGTGATATCCCTGTAATTGTTGACTGAGTGATAAGTCTTGGGTTTAAATCCTTGGTGCAGAGAGATTCACTGAGTAAGGGAATCTTGCTCCATTTATTGCTGCCTTCCCCTGTCGTAGGATGACTTCCCAATTCTGTTAGCACAAGAAAATCCTTTGTCAGGAGGACTGGACAACTAACTGGCCATCACTGCTCTTGACTATAGAGACCAGGAAGGTATGGGCAGGCTGCTGCACCCTTCACACACTGCCCTGTGTATTCCCAGCTCTGAGCACAGCCCTGCTCCTGGCCTCCTGTTGCTCTGCACTTGGGGTTGCAGAGCTCAGGGATCATCAGTTCTGACCTGAGCCCAGGTTCCCTGCATTGCCCAACTAAGGCACTGCTGGCAGATGATTGTTTGTTCTGTCTTGCTTGTGCAATAGCTCCATAGTGGTTTGTTTGGGGTGGGTTTCTTTTTGGCTAAAGAGGCTCCTCCAGAGGCTGGGCCAGAGCCACAAGTTCTCACCTCAGCTAACCTAGGGGTCAGACCCGAATCTCTTCCCAGGGCAGGGAGGAAAAAGGGGTGAGTGCAAGCTTAAAAATAGATACAGCCACACTGCTAATCCATTTAGCCCCATTGATATGTCTTCTGCATTGTTCTAAGCTTTTCTGTCATACTGTCTTGTAATCATCTTCACTGCTCCACGTAATTTCATCCCATGTCTTTTCTCCTTGTTGCTTCAAATGAAGGCAGACAGCCTAAAGCTAAGAGAAGACCTGCATCTGTAGGGCCCCATCTCTGTCACTGAGGCAGAGAACACCACTGCAGAGCTGCATTGGGGAGTAGAAAGTACTCGCTCCAGATTCCTTTGTAAAGCGAGCAGCTCTGCATTAATTACAGTAGAATAGTCAATGCCTGCACTATGGCAGTGGACTGGAGTGTCACAAAGCAGGCTGCTGTCTCCCTTCCCCCTGGTGTCACATGTGCTTGGATCACAGGCACAATCAGAGGGCTGATGTGTGTTCCACAAAGGGCTCTTCTCACCCTGCAGGGCTGGGGCTCTGCAGCAGCTCCTGCTGTGTCACGCCAGCCCCTTCCGTTCTGCTCGGCTGCGTAATGATGGGAGCTGGGGAATGTCAGGAGCGTGAGTTATCGGTTGGTGAAACCCACATTTATCAATGCCTGTCCGGGTGCCCCGGGAGGAGCTGGCCGGGAGCTTTCTCTCAGCTCTAAAAATAAAGATGGTATGAATGGCTAATTCCCTTTCTGCCTCAGATTTGGATTAGCTCTGAGGTTTGATGGCTCTTCCTGCCTGCAGTCACTTGTGTTGAACCTAGCTAACCTCTGCTGCCTGCCTGTCTCTGGGTGGCACAGAACAGTGCTGGTTCAGTTCAAGGCTGTGACAAGATGATTGAGTGTCCATGGGCTTTAGCCTCTGGGTCATATCTTGCAAGATTAAGAGGATTCTTGGGCCATCAGTCAAGTGTCAGAAGCTTGTGGATAAAATGTTCCATCCTCACGCAGCCCTATGAAGTTGTTCTTGTTCCCTGCCTCTGTTGGTGCTTGTAGCTGGAGTATGTCTATAAGGCTCTGCAGGGGGCCTCGTGAGAGACGTAGCATGTGCAAAACTAGAAGAGGCGAGGCCAGATGGAGCATGGAAGGGTTCAGCTTCCAGCAGCAAAGGGGAAGAGAGCGTTTTATGTAAGAGCTTATTCAGCATCTTGGGTTAGACTTCATTGTCCCAGTTGAATTTTAAGCAGTAGTGACATACAACAGCCAAAGCAGCATAGCAGGGCTCTGATGGTGAGTAGTGTGTGCCACAGAAGAAAGCTGGTATGAGAATGTTTTCCCGCTTCCAGCATTGTTTCTGTGGAAGAACAGAGTGTGGAGGCAGCCAAACCAGGACTCTGTGCCAGTACAGTTGCTGGTACAGAAGCAGGACCAGAAATGCTAACTCCACTCACAGGACATCTGCATGTGGGAATCCTGGGGCATCCAGGTAGCTGTTTGGTGCCTGTGTGCTCTCCCTAGCTGGATCCCAGCCACTGGAATGGCTGCAGCCCACCTGGAACTTGCCTTAGTTTTGCCCTTTGAAAAGTGGAGGGTGGGGTTCTGCTGATCCATAATCTATACCAGCCATTGAGCGTGTCATTTAGATCAACCACAGTCCACCCTGTAGAGATGGAAGGGGTTGAAACAGCCCAACCAATCCTAGATACAAGCTCCCTTTTCATGGGAAGAACTGACTTGCATGTAAAACCAACTTACCACTCTGTGCTTGAGCCGAACTCTCTTGCTCTCCTTTAGCACTTGTACAACATAGAATCAGAAATTGAGGAGTCAGACTATGACTCTGTTGACGGCAGCACCAGTGGAGCATCCTCAGAGTGGGAGGATGAAAGCGACAGCTGGGAGACAGACAATGGCCTCATGGAGGACGACCACCCAAAAATTGAGGAGTTAGAGCCTGAGGAGCCAGCGGCAGAGGAGGTGAAGAAAGTAGAGGAACAAGTCCAGGGAGCTGTGGCTATGGCTGTTGCAGATCTGGCTGCAGAAAAAGGCGTTAAGGAAAGAGCCCCCAAGAGCTTCCGCGAGCTAAAGGAGGCCATCAAGATCTTGGAGAGCCTGAAGAACATGACTGTGGAGCAGCTGCTGACTGTGTCTCCCACCTCCCCGACTGTGGAGCTGGAAAAACCCACTCGGGAGAAGAAGTTCTTGGATGATATTAAAAAGCTGCAGGAGAATCTAAAGAAAACCCTGGATAACGTGGCTATTGCAGAGGAGGAGAAGATGGAAGCTATGGTGGAAACAGAAAAGAAAGAAGAAAAAGCAGAGGCACAGACACCGGTGAGGTCCGAGTGGCCCAGTGAGACACCAGTGCTGTGCCAGCAGAGTGGAGGCAAGCCCGGAGTCACCTTCACCAGTGCCAAGGGAGAAGTCTTCTCTGTGTTGGAGTACGCTCCAGGTGAGTGTGTCGGGTCAGGCCGGTGTGGCAGACTCCATCCTTGTTGTCCTGCAGTGTTCCCTTCTCCAAAACCTTTGCTTCCAGGCCTTTTGGGTTGGCTATCCTCTCTTCTTCCCAGTCCTTTTCACAGCTCATTAACTAGGGAGGAGAAATGAAGGCAACTTCTGTAGCACAATCTGTTCTGGGAGATAAGCCTGGCTTTTAGATAGCATCTCTAGGCACTACTGCAACATCTCAAGCCACAGGAGTGTGCTTCCCTTTTGCCCACATTGGTAAGTAACTTTGGAGGGCTGCAGAGAAGATCTGCTCTCCATTGCAAGTACTTTCTTGAGAGCTGCAGGCTCTGTTCAGGCTTAGTTGCAGGGATGAATTGGTTAAGAAGCAGAGCAGTAACAGCTTGTGCTGGGTGTCCTTGATGGGTGAGAGTCCTTGTTCACTTACACCAATGTTAATCAGCCAAAAATACAGAGCAGCATCTGTTTGTGTGCAACAGTGGTGACAGCAGAGCCCAGGGTGCTCGGGAGCCAGCCTGCCAGGCCAGAGCTGACAAGAAAAGGTGGCCAAAGTGTTGAGGACCTGCAGGGTGCACAGGTAAAGGTGGGGAGCTGTGCTTAGGGTTTGCAGAGAAAGGGTCATTACCCCAGCTGTGGGACAGGGCTCCTGGCTGGGGCACAAGGACCGTCTTGTGTGGGACCATGAGAACAGGAGATGCAGGTTGTGGCTGCTGTGCAGTGTGGGAAAAATCAGGTCATCTCCAGGCTGCCTCCTGGCTCAGCACCAAGGCAAGTTTGACTCTTTTCAGCCAGATGATACACTTATAGACTTGCCTTCACAAGGAACCCGTGGCAGTTCCCAAAGGCAGGCTCTAATCCTGTTCTCTTCCTTGCCCCACAGATACCCATGCCTTCAAGAAAATGGAGTTCCAGCCCCCAGAAGCAAAGAAGTTCTTTAGCACCGTGCGGAAGGAGATGGCTCTGCTGGCCACCTCCCTGCCTGATGGCATCATGGTGAAGACCTTTGAGGACCGAATGGCAAGTGCCTGCTCTCAAATGCCTGTGTGTTAGTGCTGGGCTCAGCATCTACATCACTTTCTTTCTGGAATTCTCTCTGGAATTCCCTGCTTAGCCTTAATCCTTTGCATTAGAGCTGCAGGAATGTGTGCAGCATGTGAAATACACCTGTAATTACCCTAAAGGTCTGCTTGTGCATTCCTCAAGTCAGGGTGGGAAACAACCTGGAGCTCCTCATTGTAGGAAGCTTATTTCAGGTGCTTTGCCCCTGGGCCGCCTGTCCTGCTGAGCAGGAAAGGCAGGTGGGCAGCCACGAGGGGCTGGTGTAACCAGTGAGTAGCTTGGGGCTTCTGGCTGTTCCCAAAGCCCTGCTTCAGATCTCTTTGCACACTCTGGTCTCAGGCTGTAGAACAAGTCCACTTCTATGGGGAGAGGTGCCTTGAGAAGTGTTGTTTGAGCCGAGTTAATCACATCTCCTCTCTCCTTCTGTGTAAATACAGCCCTGCCAAGGTAAGAGGATGCTTCACTGGCTTCTGTTGCCTCTCTCCACAGGATCTCTTCTCAGCACTTATAAAAGGGCCCACACGCACGCCCTATGAAGACGGGCTCTTCCTCTTCGATATCCAGCTCCCCAACATCTACCCTGCTGTCCCTCCTCTCTTCCGCTACCTCTCCCAGTGCAGTGGGAGGCTGAATCCCAACCTGTATGACAATGGCAAAGTGTGTGTCAGCCTCCTGGGGACGTGGATAGGCAAGGTAACGCCTCCATCCACCCACCCGTGGGGAGCAGTGGCTGTGCCAGGAGCAAGCCACATCTTACCAGGCCCAGAGTCCTGGGCTCAGGTGGTGCTTGAGCTCAGGGTGCTTTGGGCTCCGTTTTAGACGTCTGGAGCAGGTAACTGGTGTAGGTTGGCTTCTACAGGGACTGTATTTGGCTCCTGTCCATCCTTGATGAGAAGCCTGTAGTCAGACCAGCCAGGCTGTGTCACACTTGGACAGAGCAGAGATGCCAGCACCAGCATGGGGTGTTCTCCTGTGGTTTGGGTCCCTGTCTCCCACACTATGAATGAATCATGTAGTGTGGCACAAAGTCCAGCTGGAGACTTGGAATAAACAGAGCCAGGGAGATGCTGTGTTGTGAACAGGCAGATCAGCAGGGCAGCTGGAAGTGGTGTGTAGGGTCACACTGTTCCATGCAGAACTGGCCTAATGGGGTATAGTGCTGGCACAAAGTAGTGGAGAGATGGGTTGGTACAATGGGACACCAGCACCTTCCTGCTGTGAATGCAGAGAAACTGGGGCCTTGCTTCCTCTGACGTTGCCACAGAGCAGGCTGCTGGTGCTTGAGCCCTCTAACACATTTGTATGTGTGTTTCAGGGGACAGAAAGATGGACCAGTAAATCCAGCCTCCTTCAAGTGCTCATCTCTATCCAAGGTAAGGTAAATGCTCCTCCAGAGCCTGTGGGACAGGGAAAGGGGGAGGGAGGATGCCAGGCTTATGGCGGGGGGGGCACCCAGTTGGGATCTGCCACCCAGCTGGGTTAGTGCTGCCTGTTGCTCCCACCTTGCTGGACAAAGCAGTGTCCTTATCTCTCCAGTTCAGCAGTTGGAGCAGGTTCAGGCTTTCCTCGTGCCCCGAGTTTTGGCTGCATCCCAGGTCTCTGACAATGCTTTCCCTTCTTCTCACTGAATCAGCTAAAGCACAGAGCTGTTCAGCTGCTGGTTGTGAGCTGACAGAGGTGAAGCACCATGTCCTCAGCCAGTTAGCAAAGTTAGTTGAGGTTGCTAAACTGGGCTTCATTTGCAGGTCTGTTTTTATCCCACTGAGTCACCTGCCCATCCTACACTGTACATGCTTTTGCACATGATGCTGGTGTTTATGCTCCTTCTATGTAGAGAATAATGAAGGGTGTGTCTAGACCAGCCCCAGAGCTTCCTGCCACAGGGCTTTGCTGTGTCTGGTTTGGGAACAGACAGACTAAATCAAATGTCTTCCTCAAGGCCACCTTTCTGTATGGGGAGCCCAGGCTTGTGACTTGAGAAACCTGTGACACAGAGCAAGACAGCTCCTGCTCCTCTGAAGTCTCACAGACCTGAGGGAGAACAACACGCGAGAAAAGCCTTTTCTCATTTCCAAAGCTGAGGATCCAAGTTTAGGCAATGAAAGACTCAATGTTTTACTGGAGCAACGTGGTATTAGTGAAGGAACCTGCTCTCTGCCTGTTCCTGCCTGGGCTGGGAGACACTTGTGGTCTCACCTCCAGCAGCTCTAATGCAGTTAGTGGCAGGCTGCCAGCAGCCTGGCAGTGTTAGTGCCATTGCTACACACATGTGATTGCATTAGACCAGCAGCAAGCAGGAGAAAGCCTGGGACGGGTGACCTGTCCCACTAGTTCATGTCCCACACTGTGCTATCTGATGGGACTGTGCTGGGCAGGACAGGACGTGGCCAGCTCAAAGCCTCTTACTGAAGATTGGCCTTTGTTCTGATTAAGGAGGAAAAAAACCTAAGGAAAATAGAAAGCTTTGGGTGTGTTTGTGGGTTTTTTTGGTGGGCGGGGAGGGAAAGGAGATGTGAAACTTTTCCCCTTCTACCCTTTTGACCTCCCGTGCTGTTGTGTGCCTCTGCATCACACTGGTAGAAGACTGTTCTTGCAAGCCAGGGGTCTTGAACGCCACCCTTGGTAGTATCCAAGATCCCTACTGCCCTAGCAGAAGGCCACAACCCATCCATGTGAGTGCTCCCCTTGTGATCCCTGCCCACTGCACCATCCAGCTTCCTGGTTTTCCGACCTGGCCTCTGCTACCCGCTTGAAGTCAAAGCACGGCTTCCAGCCTGGGGCTGCCTGCATCACTGAGCCTGTGGGTGATGCTGTGCCCCTTGAACCCCAACCTCCTTGGCAGTCCCTTGGCTTGGGATTCAGTGAACTTCCCCTCCCCTTAACCCCTTGGTGCCCCCTTCTCTTGGCAGGCCTCATCCTGGTGAACGAGCCCTACTACAACGAGGCAGGCTTCGACAGTGACCGGGGCCTGCAGGAGGGCTACGAGAACAGTCGCTGCTACAACGAGATGACGCTGATCCGCGTGGTGCAGTCCATGATGCAGCTGCTCCGCCGGCCCGTGGAGGTCTTCGAGCACGAGATCCGGGAGCACTTCCGCTGCCACGGCTGGCGCCTGGTGTCCCGCATCGAGTCCTGGCTGGAGACCAACGAGCTGGTGGAGCGGAGCCACGAACAGGCCAACGGGGCGGATTCTGCCTCCCTTTGCTCGGCAGGCAGCGCCCCGGCCGAGAGCCCGGGGGACAATGCGGGATCGCAGGGGGAATACGGGAGCAGCTCGGAGCAGGGAGCGGCCGCTGAGCTTTCCGACTCGGCGCTGGACGGGAAGGAGGAGCTGGATGAGTCGGAGTTCACAGCCTCGATGCCCAACGCTGCTGATGCCCAGCAGTACTCGGACTCGGAGAGCGCAGCCCAAGCCAGGGGGGCAGACCTGGCCAGAGACCGAACGGACGAGGGGAAGGCTGCCCAGGACTCTGCCGTGCAGCCCAGCGTGAAACCAAAGAAAAGGAGGAAGAGCTACAGGAGTTTCCTTCCGGAAAAGAGCGGTTACCCTGACATTGGGTTCCCCCTCTTCCCTTTGTCCAAGGGGTTCATTAAAAGCATCCGTGGTGTCTTGCAGCAGTACCGGGCTGCCTTAGCAGGGGCCAATATCCCAGAGTGGACCGAGGACAAATAAACCATCAGGTTAGGGACAGGCAGGTGCAGGGGAGAAGGGAAAGCAGCAGAAAGGAAATAGGCAGATGCTGTCACCAGTAAACTGGCTTCTCCTTCCAGCTTTTCTTCCTCAGCTTGGTTTGTTCCAAAGAAGGTGGTAGGCCTGACTGCTCCTCCCAGGAAAGGTTGTCTAAGCATGAATAACTCTTTGCCCCAGCCCTTCTTCCTTCCCCCCCCACCTCCCATGTACGTGTTCCTTTTGCAAGTTTGACCCTGCAATGGTAAGATTTGAGACCTGCACAGAAGCAGTCTTGCAGCCACATTCCCTTCTGCACTTTCATCTTGGGGCACCTTTCCACACAAGGACTCTTCCCACCCATCAGTTTATTCTGGTGGGCTTCAAGCCAGGAGAAGTGATTGCTGTAGGATCTGGAAGTGAAGGGCAATGCCCTCCCGGTCTCTCGTTTTTCTCTGCGTTACCATGGGTTTTATGAAACCTGCCCCAGCTTTCCTGTTCTTAGACATGGGATTGCGTTTGCATTGAGGTTGTCTGCACCATACAGAGTCGCTCTGGTCTTAGTTCACAAATAGCTACGAGGTCGTTGCAGTCAGGACTTGGTAGGCAGAACCAGAGCTCTGAACTGGCACTTGTGCTGCCCTGGTAGTGCTGCAGGGTTTCCATCCAGTTCTGCAACTCCTCGTCAGCCTCCTTGAAGCAATTCTCGCCACCCCCGCTTCTTTTTGGCCAGGGTAAGGCAAACTTCCCTTTCCCCCAGCACGCATGCTGCCTGTCTTCTAGAAATACATGGGATTCAGGGTTCTGCCCTTGTGACTTGCTTCGGTAGCAGCATCCTTCATTCCCAGCCAATCCAGGCTGTCACACAGCACTAACCTACCCCTGGATCTCAGCCTCGCCTGGGCAGCAGCAGCGAGTGGTCCTGGGGCACGTTGTAGATCCCGAAGCTACTCTTGGTGGTGAATCTGGTGTGGCTGCTCCTCCATCAGCTGTAGATGGGTATTTTGGAGCTGTTGGAGCCAGGGCCCCCCCCGGGACAGGAGCTATGGTGTGGTGACGAGGTCCTGTCATAGCAGCAGCAGTTTGTGCCTGTTCTGTGCTGTTAGCAGCTGGGGCACTGTTATCAGTTCCTTCCCTTGCCAGGGTGGCCTGGGTCCGCTGTGGGCACAGCTCATCCTGTCCCTGATCTCCACGGTCCCTCTCGGGACACTCTCAGCCCCTGCTCCAGCAGGGAGAGCTGCTGACCCTGAGCACTTTGAAGCAGTGACTGTGCCGGAGTGCCCTGCTCAAGGCACCTTCCTGAAGCCTCTTTTCCTGTGCACACACCTTTACCTTCACTTCTGGAGCTGGGACATCGCTCTCCAGCACCACTGCATTGCCCAGCGTTCAGGCATTGGAGGAGCTCCCACCTGGCATCCCTGTGGAGCACAGCCTGTCAGGGAGAGGCTGCTGGACCTCCAGCAGTGCCAGGCTCCCCGGAGGAGTCGGGCTGAGCAGATGGCTCTGCCACAAGTGAGGATGGAGCCAAACCCTCCTTTGCTCTTGCTCACTGTGGCTCTGGTCCCTTCCCCTTGCCCAGGCCAGGCTCTGGCCTCTTCTCAGTTTGAAGCAGGGAGGTGCAGGTGCCTCTCAGCCCGTTTGCACGGTGCTTCCTGCTCCTTGAACCAGCAGAGCCTGCACCCGCTGTCCCAAACCCCCTCCCGTGCCCCTCTGCCTGCTCTTCCCTGCTGCCCCCGTGCTCCGGGCAGCACAAAGCCCTTGTGGTGTCCCCATCCTCTGCTGGGTCTCGGGAGCCGCATCCTGCCCTTGGTGCTCTGCAGGGAGCAGGGTTGGCTGCGGGCAGAGCCCTCGGGCAGCAGCCCTGCAGGTGGATGGGCTGAGCAGTGGGGCAGACCCTCACTGGGGTGCAGGGGGTGCTTTGGGGCACGGGCAGTGTGAGCCAAGCATTAACTCCTGGCCACGTTCTGGTGCTAACTGCATGAATCCCTTGAGCAAAGAGCAGGGGCATCTCCACCATGGATGGGGTGACTTGGGGCAGAGGGCTGGGAGGCTGCTTGTGCCCAGGGATGAAACCTCTGAAGAGACCAAACTGCTGTTGGTCCTCCACAGACACCGATTTCCTCTGTCCCCTGTGGCTGCCCTCATAGCCCCAGCGGCCAGAGAGGGAGAAAACCCTTTTGGGATGAGGAGGGAGCAGCTCCAGGGCTCCCTGCTTTGCCCACCCTTTGCTCTCATCTCCCAGCGAAGGCCGTCCCCTTCGCCCAAGTAATCTCTTTGTTTCCTCTGACCTGACCCAAGAGCTTTGCACAGGCTCCCTGCACGGTGCATTGGCCGTGGGGTGCATTGGCCGTGGGGCAGGGGCCGGTGCCCCCCTGCACTGCCCCACGCGAGGCGTACCCAGAGGTTTACACGTTTTCTAAAGCTTTTGATAATGTGAAGCTGGGGGCAGGTGCTGGGGGCAGGGTGCTGGGCACAGCCGTGTATTTTGTGTATATGTAATATTTAAGGAGAACACTTTAAAAAGCTAAAACCTGGGGAAAAAAAAAAAAAAAGTGGGAAAAAAAAACAACGAAAAAAACAACCCCAAAAAAAGCCAAAGCATGATGCTTATTGTCAGCCTTAACCCGGCTCCGGGCTCTGTGATCATGTACAATGAGAGCGGGCTGGAAGTGCAGCGCGGGGCAGGGGGAAGGAGCCATTGCAAACCCCCTTTGTAGCCTTGGTTCTGTACAGTATTTAATGAAGACAACAGCCCCAGCCCTGCCCTTGAGGCCATGCTTAGAGGTGTCGTCCCCGTGCAGATGTGGGTGCTTGGTTGCTTACGGTATCTGTATAAAGTGCTGTGTGCCCATTCGGACTTTTTTTACCTGCAGAACTTGTTTTGTTTGGCTAACCCGGGTGTAATAAAGGAGGGAAGATGACTTGCCATTAAATCTGCCTCTGTGAGTACTTCTCAGCGATGTCTCTTTCTTGCCCTCCCCACCCTGTGACGGGATCCCACTGGGATGAAGGTGATGGCGTGGTGAAGGTGGTGTCCGGAGGGAGCCAGGTGGATCTGGCAGCTCGGGCTGGCCCTGGGCCTCCAGCAGCTCCTGTCCCTCTGCTCTGGTGAGGCCCCACCTGCAGCACTGTGTGCAGTGCTGGTGTCCTCAGCATGAGGAGGATGTGGAGCTGTTGGAGCAAGCCCAGAGAGGCCACAAGGATAATCAGGGGCTGGAGCACCTCCTGTATGGAGACAGGGTGAGAACATTGGGGCTGTTCAGCCTGGAGAAGAGAAGCTGCGTGGAGAGCTTAGAGCAGCTTCCAGTGTCTGAAGGGGGCTACAAGGATGCTGGAGAGGGACTCTTCATCAGGGACTGGAGTGATAGGACAAGGGGTGATGGGTTCAGACTGAAACAGGGAAAGTTCAGGTTGGAGATAAGGCAGAAGCTCTTCCCTGTGAGGGTGCTGAGGCGCTGGCACAGGGTGCCCAGAGAAGCTGTGGCTGCCCCATCCCTGGCAGTGTTCAAGGCCAGGTTGGACACAGGGGCTTGGAGCAAGCTGCTCTAGTGGAAGGTGTTGGGGTTGGAGCTGGAGGAGCTTTAAGGTCCCTTCCAACCCAAACCCCTCTGTTGGTTCTCTATGAGCCAGCCCCCTCACTCATGGAGCGTTGCTGTTTTCCATGCCCCAGCACACGGGGATGGGCCTGGGATGATGGAAACCCTTTGTCCCCCAGCCTGGCGGGGGGGCGCTCCTGGGGCCCGGCCCCACTTCCCAGCCCCGCTCCTCAGCTCCCAGGTGGGGGGGGAATGAGACCCAGTGCAGCCGCATCCGAGCCCAGCCTCCCGCTGCTGCCTGCACCGAGAGCCTGGAAGGAGGTGGGAGAGAGCAGCAGCAGCGTCGGTGCCCTGAGCCCTCGCCGGAGCCATTCAAACCCTGCTGTGGGCTCGGAGCAGGCGCTGCTCCCCGGAGCCAGGAGCTGCTGGGGCTGCTCTGGAGGCGAGCAAGGGATTCGTGCAGCAAAGCCTGGGCCGGGGAGGGCAGGGGCAGCGGCCAAGGGAGGCCCGAGGAGCCCGCACGGAGCCTTCCAGGTGCTGCAGACCCAATGGGCTCTGCCCTGGGCGCATCCCCTGCCCGGGGATCTCCCTGCAGGCTCCTCGGGCTCCTGGATGCGGTTGGGGTCCATTGAAGCAGCGCTGAGCCCGTTCCTGCACCCGACCCGACCCGGCGCCGCTTCTGCCGGGCTGGCAATGGGAGCGGGAACAATGTGCTCTTCATTCCCAGCCCTGCCGCCCTCCCTGCAGGGTGCAGCTGGGTGCGCGCCAGCAGCGGCACTGTTCGCCCGGCTGCTTTGGGCTGGAGCATGCGAATGAGGGCTCATTACGGCAGCTCCGGACCAGACCGGCTCAGTAACCACCAACCCCCACCAAGACCCCCCCGGGATGGGGCCTGATGCAGGGATCCAGCAGCCCCGGGGAAGGGGATGTGTGAGGTCCCCTCGCTCCAGAGCCCCTCCTTGAGCCTCTTGCATGAGTGCCCCTGCCCTGGCCTGAGGCACCGAACCTTCCCCAAAGCATCACTTGGCAGCTCCAGTGCCTGAAGGGGCTGCAGGAAACCTGGAGAGGGGCTTGGGACAAGGGCCTGCAGGGACAGGCCAAGGGGAACGGCTTGAACCTGCCACAGAGGAGACTGAGATGAGCTCTTAGGCAGAAGCCCTTCCCTGTGAGGGTGCTGAGGCGCTGGCACAGGGTGCCCAGAGAAGCTGTGGCTGCCCCATCCCTGGCAGTGTTCAAGGGCAGGTTGGACACAGGGGCTTGGAGCAAGCTGCTCTAGTGGAAGGTGTCCCTGCCTGTGGCAGGGGTTGGAGCTGGGTGAGCTTTAAGGTCCCTTCCAACACAAACCCCTCTGTAGTCCCTGTGGGATTGAGCTCCCAGCATTCAATCAGCTCCAGCATGAGGCTGAGCAGGGAGGCACCAGCACACCCCAAAAACTGGGTGGGGGGAGCAGCGCCCCATGTCCTGCTTCTGAGCCACCTCCCCTGGGAGCATCTCCTGGGCTCTGGCTCTGGCTGGAGATGGCAGCGCTGGGACAGGGGAGCAGAGGGCACTGAGAGCGGCTCTGACCACGGCTTTCAGCCCTGGGGTTTCTGCAAACACCGGCTCTTTATTGCATCTCTCACAAGAATAAACTCTGCTTCTGCAGGGAGCTTTGGGTACAAACATCCTTACAAAAAGTGAAGTTCTTGTATCAAGAGAGCTTGGTCCTGACCCTCCCTGCGGGTGGCGCTGGGGACACGAGCGATGCCCCCGTGTGCGTCTGAGCCAGGGAGGGGACGGGGCTGTGCCCGCACAGCCGGGACCTCGTACCGGGGTAGGACACCGAGTACCTGATGGGGCTCACGGCTCAGGTGTGGGGCAGCGCTGGCGGCTGTCCCAGGGGGTTAAAGCTAAGCGTGGGGCCAAGCGAGGGGATGAGCACCCGTGGTCCCCAAGAGCTATTGCTATGGACGGAGGAGGATGTTCCTGAGTGGGAGGAAGGCTCTGCCCCAACCCGGCTGGGCCGTGCCAGCAGCTCAGCGCCGGGGTGGGCGAAGGCAGCAGCTCAGGAGCCGCACACAACGCGGCAGAGGCGGCCGTGGAGCTGCCCCTGCACGGGCTCAGAGGCCAGGGCCTCCCCGTCCACCGTCATGATGCCCGCGGCCGTGCGCGGCTCCAGGCGGAAGGCCCGGACGGGGACGTAGCACAGGTGGGGACAGTTCAAGTCCAGGTGGGTCCCTCTGGCCATGGCCAGGAAGATCCTGAGCAGCGCCGCGCGGCTGATGCCAGCCTTCAGGTAGAAGAGGTGGATGCAGCCGTCGTGCAGCCGCGCCGCCGGTGCCATCAGCAGGTTGGTGCCCAGGTGGGACTGGTAAATGGCGTAGACGGTGACAAACTCCTCCTCGGGGACCACGGTCCAGTGCGCCGGCACCGGCTGCCCCAGCGGCACCAGCAGCGAGTCGGGGGGCAGCGCCCCCGGTGCTGCGGTCCCCGCTGGCAGCGGGATGTGGCCCTTGGTGACGGGCTCCGGGGGGTCCCGGGGGTTGCCCTGCGCCGTGGGGCCAAGGGGCAGGTAGGAGAGGCGGCCCTGGTACACCCGCAGCTTGGCCAGGCACTGCAGCGTGCCCAGCGTGAAGCGGGCATTGCCCAGCCAGCGGTACTTCTCGCTGTCGATGTCCACGTCCGAGATGAAGCCCCAGCCGAAGCCCAGGAAGGAGAAGAGGCGCTTGCCCGAGGCTGTGCTCAGCGACACCAGGTCCATCTGCGTGTGCAGCCCCTTGCACAGGATGAAGGTGCAGTTCGTCAGCAGCTTCTTCTTGGCGACGTGATCGTTGCTGCGAGGGATGGAGAAAGGTGAGTTTGGGCTGGACCCAGCACTGGTGCCGTATCCGTGTGTCAGAACATATCCCAGCTGGGTGACGGTGTCCCTCAGGGACAGCTGCTGGGAGAGGTTTTGCTTGGGGGGGGGGGAAGTATAAACCAGCTCTGAAAGACAGACCCAAGCCAGGGCTGCTGGGTCAGGGCAATCCCAGTCCTGCAGCAGGACCAGCTCTGCCTGGGGTGGATCCTTTAGGGAAAAGCTTTGCCAGACTCAGAGCCTGGAGAGGAGGAAGGATGTGGGGGGATGTGGGGAGGCAGCCTGATGCTCACAGGGACCAGCCTGCAGGGAGGTGGGGACCCAGAGGAGCCCCCCTGTGCTGGGATCAGCTGGGATGGAGCCTTTCCCCCCCCATCCTGCTCCCCACGGGGCTCACCCTGCGTAGTAGTTGATGGAGGCAGCCAAGGCGTTCCCAGAGCCCCCGGGCAGGATGCACAGCGGCTTCTTCATGGCCTCCTCCCAGTCCGGCCGCTCCATGAGCCCATTCACCACCTACAGGATGGAGGCAGCTTGAGGCAGGGACCCGGCAGACCCGGGGCCACGCTGGGTCCCTCCATGGACCCGTCATGGTGAGCTTGCCCCTCTCCAAGCACGGTGCCAGCCTCCCTTTGCTGTTCTCTGCCTGTCTCAAAGCCCCCCAGGCACCCTGTTGCGCCCAGCCCGAGCAGGGGATGCCCTTGGTGCCCCTCACCTCGTACATGAGCCCGTCCCCGGACATCACCACCAGCGCGTCCCACTGCGACAGGTCCTCGTCCCGCACCTTCTCGTGTGCGTGGTGGGGTCTCTCTGCGGGGGGAAACAGAAAGAGCCGAGCGTCACCTCCATGCCCCTGCCCTGCCGCTGCCAGCCCCCGGGGCGCCAGGCGGGGCTGCGGGAGGTGAGGCAGCACCAACCCATCCGAACCGGGCGATGCTGCGGGTACGAGCCCCTTGATGGAGCCCGGCCCAGCGCAGCAGCACCCAGGCAGGGGCCCAGGCCAGGAGGAGGGGACTCACCCGTGACGAAGACGCTGGCAGCGACATCAGCCTCGGCCAGCATGGGCTGCACCACGGCCTGGAAGTCCTCAAGAGCACGGCCAGCCCCGCTCTGGGGGTTCAGCAGCACCAGCGCGCGGCAGGGCCGGGGCAGCACCCCATAGCTGTCACCTGCGGGGAGGGACGGGGCTCAGGGGCGTTGTGAGCACAGCCCCGCAGCGGGAGGAGCTGCTCCCCATCCCCAAGCTCCATGGGCCCTGAGGACACGGGAGGTGAGCAGGGATGGAGAGGAGATGGGGACACAGGGTCCTGCAGGGACTCGTCCTGTGCTCTCCCGCAACCAGCAGAGATGTTAGAGGGAAGTTCAGGTTAGGTAGAAGGAAGAAGCTCTTCCCTGTGAGGGTGCTGAGGCGCTGGAACGGGCTGCCCAGAGATGTGGGGACTGCTCCATCCCTGGCACTTCCAACCCCAACTAAATAATTCTATGTTTGACCCCAGGCTGGAGCCCCGCAGCACCCAGTGGAACCAGGGCTCTGCAGTACAGAGCATCCCTGAGCATCCCAGCG